CATTAATCCATAAACTCCTGCAGCTCCGAGCCGGAGCTGGAAAAGCGCCGGTGTGAAAGGGGCAGACAGCTGTAGCTCCGTCCGCAGGAGGAGACCCGCTCTAACTGACGTGAATGTTTCAAATGTGAACAACAGGCGCGGGCAGTTCTCATTGGCAGGTTTCTTCGATGACGTTTATATTAACCAATCAGGAGTGTTGTGAACTCATTCCAAACATGCCTGACTTGTCTGCCGTGTTATGGCTGAATTCCAATTCAAGTGCCGTAGTTCTGGCTGTCGGCCAGAATCCGAAAACCATGCACATTATACTGCATGAAAGACTAAGGCTTATTACTGTATATTGACCAATGGGAAAAAAAACACAGCAACAGAACACATAAATAAAACAAGGATAACTGTGACTTATTGTTGAGTAAATAACAGTGTGTGTTTTAAACCTGGGTCCTCCCTGCAGAGATTTCTCCACTTTCTAAGATTTTTATTTTTTTTAATGATATTGTCAACTGTAGATGTTTACAATATAGTAAGTTAGGAATTTAATGAAAACATATTTATTTACTTTTGTTTCAACATTGGATATTTTGTGTTTGTGGTGGATTCAATCGAATATTGAGAAAATGATTTATGTAAAAATGTTTTACTTTACATTTTTTTTGTTTGACGCTTTTTTTTACAGTTTTATGTTTACCTTAAAATTACAAAGAAATATCTTAAAGTCTTATAATAGTAATACACTTTTATATTACGAGTTACATATTTAATTACAGATAATACTTTTTATTTTACGTACATCTGCATGTATTTTCTGAAAGTGCAAAAATACTGTAAATATTATATAGTAAATTTACTGTAAAAAAAAATGAAATAATCGTTATTTGTTGTTATTGTCAAAAGACTTAAAATAATGTTTTGGGTTGTTAATTTATAGTTAATATCTGTCATTTTACAGGATTTTGCAAGTTATTTAAAAAAACATGATAATTACTATAAAAATTTACAGTTATTTCCTGTAAAATTACGATCTTTTTTTACAGTGTACACAAAACCCAAACATGTCCTTAATGTTACTCAAGGCAAATATATGTAATATAACCGTTAGACTGCAGCTAACTGTGGGGCTACAAACCCCTCATACTGTGAGTGAATAACTTGAGATGGTTATGTTGTCTAAAGGGGAGACAATCATTATGGTTTTAGGCCATGCAAATACAGGGTCAACTAAGTGATAAAATAAGTGTTGCATAATGTATGTTCTTGAATAATGTTATTTCATAAATAGTTAATGTAATGATTACATGTTCTCCTTATTCAGTTCCACTATCAGATGATGCTGATGGTGATGGCCCTGAGGGAGAGATGCAGAGCTCAGTGGACAGAACTGGCAGGTACAGAGGAAACTGTTTCAATAGGCTATGTCTATGAAAACACTGAACAAAGGAAAGGAAATGTAATGTACAGTATAAGCAAGCTATGTAGAGTGCAATGTGTTGGCGAACCTTTGTTTCCTCCTGACAGCTCACTTAAAGGTATATTCAATTCAATTCAATTCAATAGCTTTATTAGCATGACCTCAGTTACATATAGTATTGCCAAAGCTCTGTATAGTTGCAACATCTATACAAAATATATGTATATACAATATATATATACTCCCCCTTGTGGCCAAAGGGGGACACAACTCTTGTCTTCAGACGTATGCTTGAGTGCAGCAAAATGTAGCACAGTGACTATTTTGTCAACTAAACATCATAAAACAATACATATTTTAGTAAACGGGACATTATAATCTCCGCACATTAACTCTATATTTGCCTCTGCCATGGTGCCAAAATGAAATGAAATAAAATAAACAATATATAGGGGTTGCTTCTTCTCTGAACTTCTATGTATACTGCATCCCTCCAAATCAAATAAACCATAAACAAATACATAAAGTCGTGTTCACTGCAGCGATCTATTTCACACACAAAACTATATGAAAACTTGGTGATATACAGTTTTCTCCTGGAGACCAAGGGAAGACAGGCTTCTCCTGTGTTTCAGCCTTTGTTATCATTTTGATAATTAAAAATATATATTGTGGTTGTTTTTGCATTCAGGGCATACAAGAGGTGTAACATTATTTTAATACCAAAACTATATTGAAATAGATTCTAGCTTGAACAGCAACTAAGTAGCTGTAACATTACTGGGTTATTTGGTGATAACGAAGTAAAGTAACTTCAGACGCAGACGTCACGTAGCTTCTCAGACGAGAGGGGTGGCGACGAGAGTGTCACGTGACTTCTCTCACGGCATAGTTCACGGCATGGTAGGCGACGACCGACACGATTGTCTGCTCAGTGAGTTCGCTCTTTGGCACAAATCACACCTCATAGAGCAGGCTGATCAGCAGAGGGTACACCCTGCAGTTCGCCTCCCCCCCCCCCCCACAGTTTTCAATGGGATACAGGAAACACTCCTGTCATCCCAAGAACAGTGTCTTGCGCTCCAAGCAGAGCTGCGGGAACTCCTGTTGAAAGAGGCTATTTCCAGGGTTCCTCAAGGGGAAGAAAATCAGGGGTATTACTCCCGCTATTTTCTTGTCCCGAAAAAGACAGGGGGGATGAGGTTCGTAAACTCAGCCACCAGAGCGCGCTCTTGCGGCAGCGAGTGGAGGAACTGCAGCGAGATCTCCTCCGGCGTGTCTAAAAAACCCGCACAGCCCTCTCCGTGACGCAGCTGCTTGGCATTCGCATCAGCTGGTCACGCGGTGATCCCCATGGGTCTCCCCCACAGGAGGAGACTCCAGAGGTGGGTCATTCGCTGCAGAAGCCTGCTGTTTTAACCTATTGGGTTATAAACTGCATAGCTCGCGGCATTCCTCTGTCTCAGATATGCCTCCTACAGAGCACGGTCATGACGACCATTACAGCATATCACAGAGAAGCCTCTCCAACGGGGGAGTGAGACCCATCCTTGATCTATCAGTATTCCCATGCTGACGATCAAACAGGTGCTGGAATGTGTTCACCAGGACGACTGGTTCACTTTCACCTGAAGGAGGATGCATACTTCCATACCCACCATCCCGAAACACAGGAAATTCCTGCGTTTCTCTTTTTAGGAAATATCAGACCAGACAATCGTCTGCTGTTTGGATGTTCCCTGGCTCCTCGCATTTTGTGTAGAGTAGGCTGGAGCCACTACACAGAGAGGAGGGATGAGAATGAGGTTTTTTCTCTGGACGACCTGCTGTTTGAGGTTCGATCCAGCATGAGGAAGTCGCTTTACAGACGTTACATCTCGTATCGCATCTGTCAAAGCTCAAAGATCCCCATGGGTCTCCCCCACAGGAGGAGACTCCAGAGGTGGGTCTTTCGCTGCAGCGAGTGGAGGAACTGACATCTCCCTATCCAGCGTGTCACATCCCACAGCGTGGTGACAGCCCTCTCCGTGATACAGCTGCTCAGCATGACGTCAGCTGATCACGTGGGGATTCCCCGGGGTCTCCCCCACAGGAGGGGTCTCCAGAGGTGGTTCATTCGCCCACGCACCGACCCCGTGCGTCAGGGGTAAATGTGCTGGAGCTGTTCTCCGGGTTGGGAAGTATTCCAACACTTCGCCCCGTTGCTGTACAATCAAACATGTGTTGATTCGCCCAGCCAACAGGCCACGGCAGCCTACCTCAATCGCCAGGGAAGACAGCCGTTTATGCTAAACCGGCTTCACAAGGTCATCACAAACTTTTTTAGGTTAAGAGTGATCACCCTGGCTGGCTTCTTTCCCCCTCCTCAAAGCCAGAGGAATGTTCCTCCTCCACGGCTTGCACGGAGGAATGTCAGTGGAAGACATTTGCACAGTTGCATATTGGTCTTCTCCCTGTTCATTATTCAATTTTATTTGAGGGATGTTGTTACGCTTCCCGAGAAGTGACTGGAGATGAGAACCCGCTACGCAAACACTAGACGGAGACAGTGGTGAAGTGTCAAACAATAGTCTTTATTTGACCACGGCACAGGCAAGGTGTAGAGAGGAGCTCAGAGAAGACAGACGTGGAGCTGGATAGCTCAGGGGGAGACGGAGGTGCGGAGATGCACGGAGGAAGCACCGGCGTGGAGAGCCGGAGATCCAGAGCTGGCGAATGTAGTCTGGATGAGCTGGTGTGCGCGGAAGCACGGAGGGAACTCAGACGAGGAGTCGGAGGCTGGACGTGGCAAGCAGAGCGGCAGGTGTGTGTAGATCACTGAAGAATAAACGAAGAACTGGCGAAGTCTGAGGATGGGAACCAGGGTTTTAAGCAGGTGCAGGTGAGTAGTGGCAATCAGTGAGATGAACAACAGCAGTGGAGATGAGTTGGCGGGAATCAGAATGTAGGTCAGCCACGCCCAGCCAGGAAGACAAACAAACATAGAAGTGGAAAAGAAGGAGGAAGTACTGCAGATCCTCACAGTACCCCCCCCTCAACGGGAGCCTCCTGGCGACCACCAGGCTTGTCTGGATGAGCCCTGTGAAAGGCCCTTATCATTACAGGGTCCAGGACTCGGGAGCGAGGAACCCAGCATCGCTCCTCGAGGCCGTAACCCTCCCAGTCCACCAAATACTGTAAGCCCCTGCCCCGGCGCCTGACGTCCATGAGACGGTGCACTGTGTAGGCAGGATGGTCATCAATGACTCGGGGGGGAGGAGGGGGAACGGCCGGAGGGCTCAAGTCACTGGTGTGAACAGGCTTAATCTGGGAGACATGAAAAGTAGGATGGACTCTCAATGTTCTGGGAAGCTTCAGCCGGACTGCAGAGGGGTTAATAATCCTTTGAATGGAGAAGGGACCAATGAAGCGTGGAGACAACTTCTTCGATTCTGTGAGGAGAGGAATGTTCCTGGAAGATAACCAGACAGACTGACCTGGGACGTAAGGAGGAGCAGCTTGTCTGTGGCGATTGGCCGACTGTTGGTTCCGAGCTGAAGTCAGGAGGAGAGCAGAGCGAGTGTCTCTCCAGATCTTTTGACAACAACGAACATGCTGCTGGACCGAGGGAACTGCTAGTTCTCTCTCCTCTTCAGGGAACAGGGGCGGCTGGTACCCCAAAGAAGCCTCAAACGGGGAGAGACCAGTAGCAGAACACGTTAGGGAATTATGCGAGTACTCAACCCAGGGAAGATGGGAGCTCCAGGTAGAGGGGTTACGGTCAACGATGCAGCGGAGGGCTGACTCCAGGTCCTGGTTGGTTCGCTCAGTCTGACCGTTTGACTGGGGATGATATCCGGATGTTAAACTGACAGAAGCTCCCAGGGATTGACAGAACTCCTTCCACACTCGAGAGGTGAATTGAGGACCGCGGTCAGAAACTATGTCAGAAGGGATTCCATGTAGCCGGAAAACGTGTACAGAGAGGAGTTGGGAGGTCTCCAAGGCTGAAGGGAGCTTAGGAAGAGCTACAAAGTGGGCAGACTTAGAGAATCTATCAACAATGGTGAGAATTGTGGTGTTACCCTGGGAGGGAGGCAGACCAGTAACAAAGTCCAAGGCGATATGTGACCAGGGACGACTAGGGATGGGTAGAGGCTGAAGCAATCCTGCAGGTGTTTGGTGGGAGGACTTACTCCTAGCACACGTGGGACAGGAAGAAACAAACTCCTGAGTGTCCTTGTTGACAGTTGGCCACCAGAAGTGTCTCTTAAGAAGAGAGCGTGTGCGGTTTACTCCGGGATGGATGGAGAACCGGGAACTGTGGACCCACTGTAGAACCTTGGAGCGAGCAGCATCGGGAACGAACTGACGGTTCGGAGGACCGTTACCAGGATCTGCTTGCTCTCTCAAAGCCTCCTGGATGGTGTTATTAATCTCCCAAGAGAGGGCGCCTACAACACAACTCTTGGGCAGGATTGAACCAGCAGAGGGCTCGGGAGAGTCAGAAGAGTACAGTCTGGATAGAGCATCGGGCTTAACATTCCGGGAACCTGGACGGTATGTGAGACTAAAATTGAAGCGACTGAAGAAGAGAGCCCATCTGGCCTGTCGAGAGTTCAGCCGTCTCGCTGACTGGATGTAGGCGAGGTTCTTGTGGTCTGTCCAGACCAGGAATGACTGCTTGCTGCCCTCGAGCCAGTGTCTCCACTCCTCTAACGCCAACTTTACTCCCAGAAGCTCCCTGTTTCCAACGTCATAATTGCGCCCAGCAGGAGAGAGGCGGCGTGAAAAGAAAGCACAAGGATGAAGGATGTTATTAGAACCAGCAGTTTGTGACAAGACAGCTCCCACCCCAGTGTCTGACGCATCAACCTCCACAATAAACTGCTTCTCAGAGTCTGGCTGGATGAGGATGGGAGCAGAGGTGAACAGGGACTTGAGTTTGAGAAAAGCCTCATTAGCCTCTGGGGTCCAGAAGAACTTAATGTTGACAGAGGTGAGTCTTGAGAGAGGTGCAGCAACCTTACTGAAGTTCCTGATGAAGCGGCGGTAAAAGTTGGCGAAGCCCAGAAACCTCTGAAGCTCCCTCCTCGTAGTAGGGGCTGGCCACTCGACCACAGCCTCGATCTTTCCAGAATCTGCCTCCACTCTGCCCTGACTAATGATATAGCCCAGGAAGCTGATCCGGTTCTGGTGGAACTCACACTTCTCAGCCTTGACATAGAGCTTGTTCTCCAGCAGTCTCTGAAGCACCAGGCGGACATGGTTCTCGTGTTCCTCCTGGTCTTTGGAGAAAATCAAGATGTCGTCTATGTAAACAAAGACAAAGCGGTTAAGGAAATCACGCAGAACATCGTTGACCAGAGCCTGAAATACTGCTGGAGCGTTAGTGAGTCCAAAGGGCATGACTAGGTATTCAAAATGACCTAAGGGAGTGTTGAAAGCCGTCTTCCATTCATCCCCTTGACGGATACGGACCAGATGATAGGCGTTCCTAAGGTCAAGCTTGGTGAACAGGGTTGCCTCATGGAGAGGTTCAAAAGCAGAGGTGAGAAGGGGTAATGGGTACTTGTTCTTAACAGTAATGTTGTTTAACCCACGAAAGTCAATGCAAGGTCGCAGTGACTTATCCTTTTTGCCAACGAAGAAGAAACCGGCACCCACGGGAGAGGAGGAAGAACGAATAATCCCAGCAGCCACTGAGTCCGTGATATATAGCTCCATAGCCTCCTTCTCAGGACGGGACAGGTTGTAGAGGCGGCTGGTGGGTAGAGGAGCCCCAGGAAACAGATCTATAGAGCAGTCGTAGGGCCGATGAGGAGGAAGAGAGAGAGCCCTCTCCTTGCTGAAGACCAATCTCAGGTCGTGGTAGGTCGCAGGAACTCCAGTTAAGTCTACAGAAGCAGCAGAGTTTGGGGAGACAGAGACAGGAGGTACAGCAGATAACAGACAGTTAGCGAGACAGTGCTGATCCCATTCAATTATCTTTCCTTTGACCCAATCAATGTGTGGGTTGTGGGTTGTGGGTGCGAAGCCACGGATAACCCAATACCCTCGGCTACTGAGTGACAAGCTGCAGGCTATGAGGGTAAACTCGTCCACCATCTCCTGGATTACCAACTACCTCACGGACAGACCACAGTACGTCCGGCTGGGCAGTGTGCTGTCTGATGTGGTGGTTGGTAGTATTGGAGCCCCACAGGGGACTGTGCTGTCTCCTTTCCTGTTCACCTTATACACCTCTGACTTTCTATACAACTCAGAGTCATGCCACCTGCAGAAGTTTTCGGATGACTCTGCAGTGGTAGGGTGTATAAGGGATGGACGGGAGGAGGAGTACAGAGCGCTGGTGGGTGATTTTGTTGAGTGGACTGGAAGAAATCATCTGCTTTTGAATGTGGCCAAGACCAGAGAGATGGTCATTGATTTCAGGAGGAAGAGGACATCTCCTCCTCTGCCCCTGTGCATTCTGGGAGAGGATGTGGCAGTTGTGGAGGTCTACAAGTACCTGGGAGTGCACTTAGACAATGGGCTGAACTGGAGGATCAACACTGACGCTGTGTACAAGAAGGGGATGAGCAGACTCTATTTTCTGAGGAAGCTGAGATCCTTCAACGTATGCAGTAAGATGCTGGAGATCTTCTATCAGTCTGTTGTGGCTAGTGCACTCTTCTTTGCTGCGGTCTGCTGGGGGGGGCAGCATCAGAGCCGGTGACACCTGCAGGATCAATAAACTGATCAGGAAAGCTGGGTCAGTCATCGGCATCAAGCTGGAACCCTTTGAAGCTGTGGTGGAGAGGAGGACACTGAACAGGCTGTTGTCCATCATGGATAACCCCACCCATCCTCTCCACCTACAGCTGGACAGTCAACGGAGCTCCTTCTCCAACAGACTGCTGCAGCTCCCCTGTCTCAAGGACAGATACTGGAAAACATTCCTGCCCACTGCAATAACACTGTACAACAAATCACCTCTGGCTGGAAGAGAACTCTCTGCTCCATAGTTTCTCTAGAAATAAAACCACCTTGTACATTTTACTCACACATAATCTGTTTCATATTTAATACTCCATAATTCCATATATTTTGAATATATATATATTTGTATATTTGTATATATATATATATATATATATATATAATATCTGTATGTATATTTTCTATTTTGTATTTTGACATGTATATTTTATATTTTATTTTATATTTTATTTTATTTTATTTCTATTCTTGTATATTTTGTTTTATTGTAAAATGCCTTTTATGCTGCTGTAACAAAAACAATTTCCCAATTTGGGATCAATAAAGTACGATCTATCTATCTATCTATCTATACCAGAGGTGTGGAAGGTGCAGAGATTACCTTTAACTGGATGAGCTCTCTGTGGTTGCCGGAGGTGATCAATGTCAAAGGGGCTGACTGTGCTGTTACAGAGGAGATTATTTGTCCATTAAGTGCATAGGCTGTTAAAGGTTCATCTAACGGCTCCAGGCAGAGTCCCAGCTGTTCAGCTAACTCACGGTCCAAAAAACTATCCTCAGCACCAGAATCAATGAGAGCTTGGATAGGCAAAGTCATAGTATTAACACAAATCTTGGCGGGGTATTAGAAAACGGCACAAAGATGGAGGTAGAGAAGATGGCTGTGGACTCGTCAGGACCCCCCAATCTCACTGACGAGCTCCCACGTTTGGGCGTACAGGACAGTTGGAAATGACATGCCCAGCGTTGCCACAATACATGCATTCGCCAGCACACGCCCGACGTTGACGCTCCTCCGGAGATAGTCTAGCGCGACCCAGTTGTATAGCCTCCTCGTGAGAAGAGGTGCGCCCGCTGGGCGGCGAGAAAACGGAGGGAGACTTAAACACAGAGGGAACAGGGTAGGTGGAAAAACTGGGCTTACTGTGTGAGACAGGTGGATTCCGCTGTGTCCGCTCAGCTCTGCGCTCCCGCAAACGACAGTCCAGGCGGGACACCAAGGAAATCAGATCTTGGAGATCCGCTGGAACGTCTCGTGCAGCTAATTCATCCCGGAGCTGATCCTTTAATCCTCTCAAAAACACCGCCTTGAGAGCCGCCTCGTCCCATCGAGCCTCTGCAGCGAGTGTGTGAAACTCGATGGAATATTCGGCCACACTCCGGTTTCCCTGTTGTAAACCGAGCAGCTGATTCTCGGCGGAGCCAGAATAATTGGGATGATCAAAGACAGCAGAAAAACGCTCAGAGAAGCATTCGAAACGCAGATTGTCATAGTCCACTGAAGAGCTCAAAGCCTCTGCCCAGGTTAAAGCCTTGCCACGGAGCAAACTCAGAACATAATTAATCCGGGTAACATCAGCTGCAAACGAAACAGGACGCTGGCGAAAAACCTTGTTACACTGGAAAAGAAATCCTCTGCATTTCTCCACCTCACCGTGGAATGGCTCAGGGTCGGTGATGGGGAAATCCTGGCGTGGAGTAGGAGAAAAAGCTGGATTGGGAGTGGCAAGAGAAACTGCAGCCGAGGTAGTTAGAGCTGAGATCTGGCAAGCTAACTCTGAGACATGATGAGCCATGGATTGATTGCTCTCGACTAACGCCCGAATGAGCTGGTCGTGTTGACCCAGAAGGGAACCCTGACTAGACAGGGCATGATGGACTGTGGCGGGATCCGCTCCAGTGCTTGCGGGGTTCATTGTTGGCCAGTTCTTCTGTTACGCTTCCCGAGAAGTGACTGGAGATGAGAACCCGCTACGCAAACACTAGACGGAGACAGTGGTGAAGTGTCAAACAATAGTCTTTATTTGACCACGGCACAGGCAAGGTGTAGAGAGGAGCTCAGAGAAGACAGACGTGGAGCTGGATAGCTCAGGGGGAGACGGAGGTGCGGAGATGCACGGAGGAAGCACCGGCGTGGAGAGCCGGAGATCCAGAGCTGGCGAATGTAGTCTGGATGAGCTGGTGTGCGCGGAAGCACGGAGGGAACTCAGACGAGGAGTCGGAGGCTGGACGTGGCAAGCAGAGCGGCAGGTGTGTGTAGATCACTGAAGAATAAACGAAGAACTGGCGAAGTCTGAGGATGGGAACCAGGGTTTTAAGCAGGTGCAGGTGAGTAGTGGCAATCAGTGAGATGAACAACAGCAGTGGAGATGAGTTGGCGGGAATCAGAATGTAGGTCAGCCACGCCCAGCCAGGAAGACAAACAAACATAGAAGTGGAAAAGAAGGAGGAAGTACTGCAGATCCTCACAGATGTACCATTCCGCTCTAACACACCCTGTGCTGAGTGTCCTGTCAGAGTGAGTGACGTCAGGGATCCAGCTGTGCGCCTCTCTCCTGCCTCGGCACACGGAGAGTGGCCTGTATTTCCCTCTTATGAGAGGGACGTCCCCCTTTTTTCCCCTGACACATTTCGTACGGAATGTCTTGTCAGAGTGTGTGATGTTGGGGACCCAGCTGTGCGCTCTTCTGCCTGTCTGCACACAGAGAGCTGCTATTCCCCCTCCTTCTGTCACTGGGCAAAGTGTGACTTTAGTCTCTACTTTCTCACAGCGGACGGGTATGTATTATTCCCAGCCTTCGTCCTCTCATGGTAAATATTCATGTTATGCTATATTCCAGGGACTGTGATGCGCCATTCGCATGGCGCAATAGGCTTGGGTTATTATCTGAGCAGGTGTGGTTGTGCTTCTTGTACCGGGCGGACCCAGTGGGGCGCAGACTACATCTTGCTTCGCCCTTAACCCAATAGCGATAGCCTTAGAGGGCGAAGCCATATACGAAATAGAACTGAAGTTACCTACTGTAACTCCAGCTTCTATGAGTATTGGCGTAGCCCTCTAAGTTCTGGGCCCCACTGGCTCCACGAATAGCTGAAGAAAAAGTGTTTGTGTGGGAGCAGGTTGTCGGGTCCCCTTCCTATTTATACCGGAAGGGAGCCCGAGGGTGGGGCCCACCTTGCGGGCGGGCGTGGACTACAAGTGTTTTCAGTGCTGCGCGGGTGCGCAGGGGGATTACCCAATAGCGATAGCCTTAGAGGGCTACGCCAATACTCATAGAAGCTGGAGTTACAGTAGGTAACTTCAGTTCCGGAAGCTACTACCCCCGATATTGGTCCGTGGGGGAACAATACATCAGTGGACTAAAGTTCCGGTTTAATTTGTATATTGATTATTCTCACAATACAAACAATTTTAACGAGCCCTGAATTATGGGTTTTCTTTGAGACGTAGGAGCTGAGTTGAGGCTTAACAATGATGTGACAGAAATACTCACTAATAACTTTGGACATAATTGTGTAAATAATGAGATAACTATTCTGGGGGTTTTTGGTTTCAATTAGAACTAAAAAACAAACGGTTAAAACGTACCTTGGTCCTATTTAGTTTTAGTTTTGTGTTTACAAATTCAGACTGGACCAACATATGGAAGAAAAATGATGACTGGTTACCTGGCCTCAAAGGGAATCCGAGCATCAGAGGGGCGTGTTGGTCGTGTCCTCAGAGAAACGAACCAGCCATATCATGCAGATCGGTATCGTGTAGGTATTATTCAAAACATCTAGATTTTCCTGTATTGTACATTGCTGTGAACATATTGTGAGAACAATAACATTGTGTTTAATTCCTCAGAGATTAAGGAATTTAAATCCAGTGCCATACAGTGCAGAGTACATGGGTCACAAATTGCACATTGACCAAAACGAGAAACTGGTGATGTATGGGGTGACCCACGTCCTTGCCGTGGACGGATTCTCCAGCAACATTGTAAGCCACTCCACCATGCCAGTGAAAAACAACCTGACCATATATCAAGAGGTTTACCAGTAAGTTTCAGTGCCCTGTTTCTGTTATAATAATATAGTAATAACCTAATAAAAAGGTTGCAAACAGCAGACAGTAAATCATTTAGTAAACGTTTAGTTAAATAAAAACACAATGGCTAAATGTAGCTTTATTTGAACTGTTTTATTTGGGAAACATATTGTAAATCGAATACTTCTTAAACTACTGACAGGTAACCACTGTATATTGTACGTTACTTGGTAATTGATTGATGAGATCAACATTTTAACTGCGTAAAAGATTCGCTTTAGCAATGCTTAGGTTGTAACAACAAACATGAAATTCTGTTACATGTCATAAGACTTTTGTATTGCTGTTTTGCAGGAGTGCTGTCCTACGATATGCAATGTGGGACCAAATCCGAGTAGACCATGGAAAATAATTCTACTTGACTCTTTTCATGCAGGAGAAATTGGCAGACTACCGGAATAACACAGGCAGACAGCCATACATGCAAACAAAGTCAACACAGGCCAGTTGTTTTTTTATCTGAATTACAATCAACGTGTTCATACATGACATGTTACTTGTTAGACGCTTTTATCCAAAGCGACTTACATACTCAATACTGTGGACAATCCCCACATCGCCATTTCTGTCTTTTCTTCCTCACTTTATCTGCTGTTGTAATCATGTAAATTACCCTGTGGCGAGACAAATAAAAGATTTCTGATCCCATTATTCACCCAACTGCTAGCTGATAAAGCTGTCAATAGACCCATGGCGTTCACTAAACCTCTCTAGGGGACTGCTAGCTTTTTCCTATGACATAGGAGAGATACACAGTACTTTTGAACTGGATACAGGAAATGGATCAAATACAAAGCCTGAAATTGGGAAATTACAATGTGCTCTCTACATTTGACTCTTCTCATTTTTGTTTACTTGAAATGACAGAATCATATTATAGAAAGGATGTGGCCAGAGGTAAACAACAGGGTAAACTACCCTCTGAAAGGCGCACTCAACCACCTTGTTGACCAGGAGGAACTAAACCTTGAAGACAACATCACACGATATTGTGTGTCCACTCTTACCTGTCAGGTAGCCAACATTGGACTTGCCCGGATGGTGCAGTCCTGGAACAGAATCCAAGGTTTGGATAGCAGTTTTCAGAATGTTACTTAAGCCCCATAACAAATGACCTTCTTTATGCATTTTTATAAGTTGTACTTATATCCTACATTTGTTTCTCTCTGTATCCCCTTTTTTACACTAGGTTGATGGAAATGTTTAAATGTGGCATGTATATATTCCAATATTTCAATAATTGTCTGAGGAAAGACATATCTAATCTAGTTTATAGATTGCTCTTATTGCATGAAACATATATATCTGGTAAGTACATAAACAGTCAAATTAAAAACATACTTTTTAAAGTTTGTAAGAAGTGTACTAATAGCACAAGTAACATTTGTTGTAAGGGCAGGCCATGATTACACGCTGTGTGATGTTCATTGATATGCATGATATGTAACATTACACTAACAATGGCCACTTATTTGTGCTTTTCTTTTAAGGTAAGGGTATCCCAGATCAACTTGCTCATGGTGGATGCCCAAAGAGACTGCCTGCAGATCTTTTGCCTGAAGCTACAGATGCTGCAGACTGCTATTACCAGGAAGTGGGGTCCTCTCTGACACGAGTGTCGCTGTTTGGGAGAAACCCATTTGCCACTGTGGAGCACCAGACAGCAGCTGAACAAGAATTTGCAACGAACTATGCGGACATTGCTGAACTCTTTGAGCGTGCCATTCATAACCAGCCAGCACCATTCCAAAACGGGATAAAGGATCTCATAGACATTGTAAGAAGATACGTGTAAAGGCAAGTGCAGGGATCAGGAGCCAGTGTATACCCAGGTTGCTGGACTGTCTGCAGCACTGGATGCTTTAAGGGCCCTCCCCTAAAGTGGACAGCAGTTCAGTCGTTTATTGTTAAGTTTATTGTTTATTGTTAAGTGGTGTGTGTTCAAATTCCAGGTTCCATGATATCATCATACAGAAAATAATTGTTGTAGTTTTCTTTAGCTGTATGACTTGTTAATTGTTCATCTGCAATGTTTAATAAATGGAGAATTGTTTGAATGTGTGTCCATGGTATGTTTAATTATGTTTCTAAACACAGGCAAATAGCTGCATACGTAAGGCAATACAATCAAACGCTATTATTTTATCATCCACGCACCAACAGAACATTTGGAAATCAGCCATTAATCAGAGGTTGTCGAAGTACTTGAGTAAAAGTAGAAGTACTCAGATCTTGTACTTGAGTAAAAGTAGAATAGCAATAATACATATGACATCTATTTTTTTAACGTCTCCATTACCGATAAAAAGATCGTTAACGTTGGACCTTAACGGTACCACGGTCTTTAATAATTCATCCCCGGGGCCCCGTTAATACCGGGGCTCGGTACCCATCCCTAGTTTTAATTATTACATCATCAATATTACATTTCAAATAACCAAGAACTTGGTATCTCACAAAGAGCAAGTTGCTAGTGCTGCTAAGAACATACCTTTCAAACCCCATAGCTTCTGCAGGGTGAGGGGCTGCCTGGTGGTCTTGGTGGTGGGGCATTCCTTTCCAGTCAGGCTCCTTTCCCCTAAGGTGTCGGTGCCCCAAAACGCCACAGCCAACTCCTTCACGAACATGGAGTCCCTTGTGTTGTTTTTTATTTTTGCCCAGACCTCTGGACGCACTGGAATCTCCCCTTGCAAGTGAATGACAACAATCTGAAACATCAAATGTGTCCAGTAGCCTATACATAAAAGGTAGACACCAATATGAGACTGAGGAGCAAAAATAAAAAGGCTCCACTATGGAAATAATATATACCTTCCCATGCGGCTCGCTCTTTGAAGGGGGATTATTGGGGTGTGTGGGTGTCCAGGGTGCAGGCTCACACTGGGTCTCAGATTGTTCTTCTACAGAATGTGAATAAGACAAAGAAAGGACAAAAACATTTCAACAATAGTATAAATTCATATGCGTATATCTTGATGGGCTGATTGTTTACACATTTCACTGCCATCTTGTCTGTTTCTTTTATTGCAGTTGCTGATGAAAGTTCAAATGCAAAATCGATCCAAGACTGTCATTATTATTTGCTTGCAATTTAAAAACAAATGTACTTAATTTGTGAAAATACCTGGTTTAATAGTTTATCCAAATGAATGTTTAGATGTGCTGTCCTGTAGGTGGAGACTTCCCCTTCCAGCTCAGCTTTGGAATCCTCCAATTTAGCAGATCTTTATAATGTAATGAAAAATAAAATGATCAACAAAACAGCCTTTTAGCCTACCACCAGTCAAATCTGTTGTTACCCTATGACTGGTAGAAACACAAACATGAAATGTACCTTCTGTATTAACCGTCTAAAGATTAGTTCCTGTTGTAATTGTGCAGCTGTATTATCTGGGAAATAGAAGAATCGGATCAGGATTCGGTATTAGCAGACAATCAATATCAAATGACTCGGATGGTTATTAGCATCAGCATCTGATCACCTTTGTCTACTTGCAGCCTAAATACAAAGATAACTCCTCTCCTACCACTGCTTACCTCTATTAAGCCTTGGTAGAACTAGTGTCCTAGTCATAGGGTCCAGGACTGACTGAAGACATGTGGAACAGAGGACAGGCATCGTTTGATGTACAGGAAACTGGAACTTTGAACAGGTGTTTTCATCTTTTCTGCCTGAAGATTCTCAAGTTCTTGATCAGGTGTTTGATGTGGGCTGGCATGATCCTTTCTGCAGCGATAAAGAAAGACAACAAAGAAAACATTGTTAATAATAGCAATGATGGTAACAACAATAATATTAGTATAACTATTTATATAGCACTTACACAATTGCAAAGTGATTCTCACTACAAAAATAAAGAACAAAACAATACCATCAATCCAAAAACTAAGCATTAAAGAAGTTCAGTGACAAACATCCTCTGAAGTAAAGACCAAATCATGTGAAGCTTGAAATCGTTCAGTCTTTACAATGCACTGTTGTGAATGACATTCCAAAGGCTGAATCCAGACTCAGAAATAACTGGTGCTTTACCTGATACTGGAGAACACGTTCCACACGGAGCAGCAACCATCCGGCTGGGCCTTTTGCTGCATCTTCTCCCTCTCCACTGTTTCCAGTACATCTCTACTGCCTCTTTCCAATAAAACAGAAATGCCCCAAAAATCATATTTAAAAGTTAAAAACAATAACTTACTTTTGGCATTAAAATGGATTTGAATCTCACCTTTTTCCTGGATGTCAGGAAGGCCAGGAAATCGTTCCCTTCAAGTCCACAACCAGTCTTCTCTTTCTTTCACCCTCCGAAAATCTCCCAGCATGCACCAGGAAGAAGAAGAAGAGGAAGAAGCAGAAGCAGAAGATGCATTTTTCAGAACATTTTCCTTAAAAATAAGAAAACATACCGATTTCTTTTTGAGAGCATCCATTTCTGTGGATTCCCCTTCACAATGATCAACATCAACTACATCTTCTTGGATCCTTGGAACTCTGATTCGTTTTGGAGGATTTGATGTTGAGTCCTCAATCTCTTGGGTTTCTGTCAAAAGGTAAGTGAAGCTAACGTTAATGTTTAATGTCCATGGTAATGATTTTACCTTACTTTAATTTCGGTAGTTTACGTCAACGTAACGAGTATGCCGTTAAAGTAAGCGGCTTATTCTAACGTTAAAGTAAGCCATCTTAACGTACTAGTAACGTATATATTATATATATATATATAAATATATATATACGGCTTATAAGTCTGCATACTCTAGCCGTCAGAGTGAACAATAAGAAATATAAAGTTGACTGTTGAGTTGCTCAGTTTTTTTAGATTGTCAATACTATTACTGTATAACTAATATCTCAGGTTAAGAGGCACATTCAAATAAAGATTGGTCTTTAAATACATTTTGTCTTTTGAATTGTTTGTCTAAAGTCAAGGATCTAGAACTGGTACTTATAGTTTTAATGATACAGTCTGGTTATAATGCTGTTTGGAGGAGGCCTCACAGGTAAGAGCACTAACTAGCTACCATCACATGTACTGTACCTTAGCTTGACTTAAATGTATTAAACGTATAATTAAGTGATAGCAAAATATAAATAACTAATGTCATGCAAACATATTAATTTGCTTGATTCCAGTGTTGCATTTAGCACATTGCATACAAACGTTAAGGGATTTTAAGATTCTGAAGTATTATGCTAAAAACTCAATAACATAGATTATTATTTATAGTTTTGCTGAATAGTTTCATGTCCGCTTACCTTAGAAACGTGAAATGTGACGGCAGTGTGCAGATGGGGAGGCATGTTAGCTTAGCTTCTTAGCTTGAGCTAGCTCTGTTACTTCCCAGCTGGAGGCAGCAGCTCCCGCCTCGGCTCCGCCTCTTTGCCCTTATTTGGAGCAGGCTGGAGCAGGCGGGAGTTAGACTCAGACGTCACTGTCGAGCCGTTAGTGGCCGACTCCGCCTACTAAGGGCTTCTCGGCAACTCTGCAGAATCCTATGGGTGACGTCACGGACCCTACGTCCATTTATATATACAGTCTATGCTTCAGACGAGCTGACAACCGAAGAGTTAAATAAACGTACGAAGATTAGAAGAAACGAAAAATGGACTCACCATTACTGGAATCTCGGCCATGCCCCACCTGCCTTGGTTTGATCGCGGGCACCGATCTCCACCACCTCTGTTATGGCGCAGTTCCACTACAGCGCGGAGCTCGCTTTAAGCGTGCCGTGTCGTGCCGTCCCCGTTTTTGGTTGCGCTTCCACTAGGCCTAGTTACGGCCCGGCCCGGCCCGGGGCCACTTTTTCACCTCTTTTCTGGCCCGACAAAATTGTGGTTCTATCGGGGCCAACAAACAGGGCTGAGTCGGGCTGAGTATGCTAAACTAGAGAGAGGAGCGCTGGCAAGAGGGCTAGAACTACAACAAGATGGACATATTTGACCGTGATTTAATTGTAATACACGTTTCAAAATGATGCCGAAGTAACAACATACTGATACCGGTTAGTAAAAACCATGAATTAATGCTTTGTCAAGTCTGCAGACAGACGGCAGGCGAAAAACCTTTTAAAATTCGTGTTTTTCTAGATTGAGATTGGCTAAGCTAACGCAGTATATGCTCCGACCGTCCACACTCACAACAACGGCCTATACAGACATAAATAAAGCAGCGACTGTATTCACCATGACACAGGCAGTCTGTGGTGTGTACTTGTTTAACTTTTGTCGAGTTTCTGAACATATATAAGGAGCTGTGAGCTCTGAGTGCTAACAGCTAACGGCTGTGTTGTGTTTTCTGGAGTTCTCTGAAGATGACGTCACGGCTCCGCCTACACTGCGTTACTATAGTAACTACCCCAGTTCCTAAACTGTAATGGAAGCGCAGCATGAAGTGAGTCGGCCCAACGCGGCCAAGCCGTACCGAGCCTTACCGAGTGTGGCCGAGGCCGACCGTGTAGTGGAACTGCGGCATTAGAGTGTTTGGGGGACCAGGATATGGCCGAGGCGGTGCCATTCACTTTCGCCATTCAAGCGGGGCGAATGGCTCCGTTTGCCGTTGTCGGGCACTTCCGGGTTCGGTCCATGGAGGTCCACCGCCCTAGGTGATGACCATGGCGGCGGAGCGCAGCTGCTCCCAGTGGGCAGCAGGCTGGGCAGGGAGAGAGCTCTGCCACGCTACCGCGGGACAGGGCGACTGCAGATAAACACGGGTGTGTTGGGCATCTCGCTCATTGCTGGAGATGCCAGATCAGAGCGATTATTTGTAGCTTGATCGGGGCCGCCGCCGTTTTCTGCCGTGTGGTATCCCGGTGAGGGATCACGCCGCATGGCACTTTTCAAAAAGGACCGTGTTGATCTCCTGGGAGCCCCCGTGTTTACGGAAGGGCTCTTTGGATCGGAAAGAACACTGTCCCACACTCCCCGCCCCCTCTGTAAACTCCAGTATAGGAGCCAGCAGGTGAGCGCGTGCACGTGAGTGGAATAAACCGTAGTGCTGTCAAAGCACTGTGCGGGTTCAAGAGAGTGATGTGTGTGTGAGAAATGCATTCAGTGAAAACGATTGCATTTATCCCAGAGTAAGAGTCATCTCTCTCCACATTTCCATTTTTTCACCATAATGTCCGTTTCAAAGAGATGGCAGTTGACAGAGCCGCGGCCCCACGGGAGCTGCCGCGGTGCGTTCAAGAACCTCAGTAGAAAATCGGCCCCTTTTTCTGTGTCAGCCCCCATGCCAAAACTCCCTTTTATGGAAGGTTTGGCAGCGGAGTAGGCCACCAGAGAATATTACAGCTTCTTAGCTGTGGCTCCAAAGTCGAAAAGAGGCCCTGTTGCAAGAACGGTGGGTTACGTATATTAGACCCTCCAGAAAAACGCGATTATGCGATCGCATAATTTACCGCATAATCAGTAAAATGGCGCAGATTTTAAAAGGGCGCATATTTATTAAAAGGTCGCATAATCCCCGCATTTTTCCACACAAAATTGAGGGAAAAAAAAGTTAACGTGAAGTAGTGATGTCATCAGCTCGCGCAGGTAAACAACACCGTAGAGTGAATGTGTGGAACTCACACGAGAGAGAAAACAACAAGATCAGCGCCATATAGATTATTATATACTATTATACTATTATTATTATATACTATTATACGGCTCTGACCAAGATGAACAAATCGAATCCATCTCATTTGCCTACGAACATTTCTGCTAAAGACCGGGCAAAGCAGCACGCCGATGTCTTGCACGAAAGTGGGGGGAAACTATTCTGCACCCCGTGCAACTGTGTGTTGGAGCATAAGAGAAAATCGACGGTGACGACCCACTTTGATTCATTCAAACATTCGGAAATGCTTTCTGCTGCTGCGGTCAAGAAAGCCAAACAACTCGCGTTCACCGAGGCATCAACCTCCAAAACTCTTTCGAGGGCTACAAGAAACGAGGTGAGTAGCCTACAAGATTGAAGCTGGTCAGATAACGAACGAGTAAATGAAAACAGAATGAGGCGGAGAAGAGTGTGTGTGTGTGTGTGTGTGTGTGTGTGTGTGTGTGTGTGTGTGTGTGTGTGTGTGTGTGTGTGTGTGTGTGTGTGTGTGTGTGTGTGTGTGTGTGTGTGTGTGTGTGTGTGTGTGTGTGTGAGAGAGAGTGATTAAAATAGCCCATATATAAATACATAAATAACACTTTGTGATGTAGCTTGCTTCTAGTATGCTTGTTTATCATAGGAACTCTTTAAAAGGGCTCACTTTCATTCAGTAGTAGCCTAGTAACAGGGTGTGGGAGAAGAATCACCTTTTTTCCGCCTCCCGCATATTTCGCAACTTTTCGCATATTTAGCATATTTCCGCATATTTCGCAACTTCACCGCATAAAATCACATAAAAACCCTGCATGTTTAATCGCATAATCAAGGATTTTAGCCCGCATAATCAAGGATTTTAGCCCGCGTTTTTCTGGAGGGTCTAGTATATAGTAACCCTAGTTCAAGAGTGATGTGTGTGTGAAAAATGCATTTAGTAAAAACGATTGCATTTATCCCAGAGTAACGGGCCGTCTCCACGGCAGCGTTAAAAAAATCTTGGAGGTGGGCGTATCTGAAGCTTGGGGATTTTTTTGCGATCAACCAATCACATGAATCTCCCGCCCGCGACATACGAAGCCAAAAAGCCCGAAGTAAACTGGATATAAACTCCCCAAAACAGGCGAAAACATACCACTGTCTCTGCCACCTCCCTCCATGCCTGGCTCCTCCGGTTTATATCCCGGTAGGTCTGGTCATAAAGCACCGGGTGATTGATTCGCTACCGCTAATTTCTCCTCCATTTTTTGGAATATGAGGAAATGATCTGCGGGATATCTCTCCCAGCATACACGCCGTTTGATTGGCTAGAGCTTGAACTGTCAGATTTGCGTACACGGGATTTGATTGGCTGACGCTTCCTCCTCAGCTTCAAAAGTTGAACATTGTTCAACTTTGGATCTTGAAAATCCTGAGAATCTCCGCTCGCCTGCCCACAATGCATTTCGGCGAAAGCGAAAAAAAGTGACGTCACCCCATTCAAAGTGAATGGGCAGAAGCGTTTCAAGATTTTTTAACGCTGCCGTGGAGACGGCCCGTAAGAGTCATCTCTCTCCACATTCCACATTTTCCCATAATGTCTCGTTGAGATCGGCAAGGCCGTTTTCATACGATGTTAATTGGACACCCATTATGAGGCGCGGCCCCCGTGAGAGTGGCCGCGGTGCGTTCAGGGACCTCCGCAGAAGAACAGTGCGTTACGTAGTGTAACTCTAGTTCTAAAGTGATATGTGTGTGTAAAATGCATTCAGTAAAAACGATTGCATTTATCCCAGAGTAAGAGTCATCTCTCTCCACATTTCACATTTCCCCATAATGTCCGTTTCAAGGAGATGGCATTA